CATAGATACATTTGAATTCTAAATGTAGGCAAGGAAGAGTGACATCTTGCAAAAGACAATACATACACAATCAGATTATAATACACTAGAAGTAGAGCCCGGCGTTGCCCGGGGATATAACAGTAAGAGATAGATCAAGTATCCACCATCATAAAGACTGAAAAATAAAATTGACAAAGATTATTGTTTAAGGTTGACGGACACGCATGTCTTAATTAGTTTTTTTTTTTTTTTTACGAATTGGTCAAACTCAAACAAAAACATAGTTTTCAATCGTTATGAGTCTCTACCGATTGAATAGAATAATTTTATAAACAATTGTCTTGTAAATGGAATTTTTTAAGCATTCTGAATGTAAAAATAAAGAAGAAAGTGTGAAAGACAATAAGAAACACTACATGCCAAAAAAAAGTGAAGTTTTGTTGAAATCAGTTGAAAAATGTAGGTAGCCTTTCTGTAATCTTTTTAGTTTTACAATTTATGAATTTTACTTATTGAATACAGTAATAAAAATTGAATATTTTGCTTGTGGTGATTCATAATTAGAATTCTGATTTGAATATATTTTCCACTCGTTGTTTCTAATACAAAAAATATTAACTTTATTTGGGTTTATTAATTATGATCTAACAAATCTTATTCATTTAGTAGCTTTCTGTAATAATAATCTTTTACAATTTATGATTTTTACTTATTGAATACAGTAAAAGAATTGGACACCATGTGTATTTAAAGTAGTTTCCCGTTCCGGTTATTATTTTTAGTTAGGACTTGTGTATGTTTAGATTTCATTATCTTTCCCTCAAGATAAAGAATTTATTCCGATGTTTGTATTCGTACAATCAGTAGAGATCGTTAGATTATTGTTTAAGGTTGACGGACACGCATGTCTTAATTAGTTTTTTTTGTTTTATTTTTTTTTTTACGAATTGGTCAAACCCAAACTCAAACAAAAACATTGTTTACAATCGTTATGAGTCTATCGATTGATGAATAGAATTTTATTATAAACAATTGTCTTGTAAATGGGATTTTTAAAGCATTCTGAATGTAAAAATAAAGAAAAAAATGTGCAAGACAATAAGAAACATTACCTGCCAAAAAAAAGTGAAGTTTTGTTGAAATCGGTTGAAAAATGTAGGTAGCCTTTCTGTAATCTTTTAGTTTTACAATTTATGATTTTTACTTATTGAATACAGTAATAAAAATTGCATATTTTGCTTGTGGTGATTCATAATTAGAATTCTGATTTGAATATATTTTCCACTCGTTGTTTTTAATACAAAAAATATTAACTTTATTTGGGTTTATTAATTTATTACAAGTACTTTCCTTAATAATTATCATCTTCGAAATATTGTTGTTTTTTGTCTATCAGATTTCTTATGTCGGCATTTTAAAATTATTTCTTAATACTTTCTTTTAAATATTGAATTAATTTCAAATAGAACCAATGCCTTATTGATCTGCCTTGTAACAAATTGCAAAGGGAATTGTAAAAACGGCCCTAAAGTACGTGGAATTATCTTTCCCTAAAGAATTATCCGATTTTTCGATTCGTACAATCAGTAGAGATCGTTAGATTATTGTTTAGGTTGACGGACACGCATGTCTTAGTTTTGGGGTTTTTTTTTTTTTACGAATTGGTCAAACTCAAACAAAAACATTGTTTTTAATCGTTATGAGTCTCTACCGATTGAATAGAATAATTTTATGAACAATTGTCTTGTAAATGGAATTTTTAAAGCATTCTGAATGTAAAAATAAAGAAAAAAGTGTGCAAGACAATAAGAAACACTACCTGCAAAAAAAAAGTGGATGTTTGTTTTATCGGCTGAAAAATGTAAGAAATCCGATCCCATATATAAAGGAACACACACACAACCTGGGTTTTTTGACCCGATGTGAGTTGTCGCCCTTTCATTCTCACGATGTGTCTTAATCGTGTTTTCAAATTGATTTTGTTAAAAAAAACAATTGTGTTTTTCCCATTTTCGGCCCCGTTAGAACCACCACAAGGTAATTTTATGTAGTCCTGTGAAGTTTTGTTGAAATCGGCTAAAAAATGTAGGAAATCCGATCCAATATATAAACGTTACAGACACACACACACACACACACACACACACACACACACACACACACAATCTGGGTTTTATAATGAGTAAGATAAGCACGCAGACGTATTTAGATATATACACACAAAAAAGTGACGAAACAAGAAATATCTCCACGGCCCTTTACAAAAAAAAAAAAATACCATACATACACAATGAAAGGTGCACGTCCAATTACCATACACACAGACACCGATAAAGACACGTACATACATCCACATACATTAACATAGACATTCCATTACAACAACCAGAAAATATTTAAGACTGAAAGTGTTATTAAACGAATTCTAACCACTTATTAAAATATAACATATACCGGCAAATATACATAGATAAACATGGTCTAATAGAACAGAAAAACAAACAATGGGTAAAGAACGGACATTAAAACAGATATATACGTATAAAAATAACACCATCTAATATATAAAAACCAAAATTCCAATAGTATTATAAAAACCA